GGGGTGAATGTTTAATGTTTGTTTGTTCTTTTTTTCTTGTTTTTAGTCGTGAACATTGACTATGAACTGGCTACAGGTATGTTTCAATAACACTATCATATATATTATTGAATATTCTTTACAATCTGAAATGCTTGCATCTTAGTGACTTAGATTAGGATTAACTATCAGTAAGTTTTTCGTCATTCCTGCAATCGATTGCTGCATAAAAGTATCTCTTTAAATAATGGCATAAAAGAATGTACCTAGTGCATCCAGTTTGAAACAAGCATGCGTTGTAGCGCGTTCAATGTGTAGTTTTGGGGTTTGGGAAAAACACAATTGCAATGAAGCTATTTCACACGGAACAAAATGTTTCCTCCTAGCTTGCCAATGCCGCAACCATTTTGTTCATATCAAATATGAATATTCATAGCTCTGTGAACATTTTGTTTTTTGGTAAGTATGTTGGCACAACTAAGACAAACATTATATTTTACACAATTGATGTGTTAATGTAATAAATCGCATTTAATACGTTTTCGTGTTATTTTCCATAAAAATATATATTTAAATCAGCACGATATACAAGAGGAACGCCATCACAAGATACTTCCTTATTTCATGTCACTTTTTCAATACATAACTTTTTTATGATATCTTTAGCAACCGACTGCTGCAAGAATAAAAAAATGGAACGCCTGGACTGTCTTATGTGTAGAATAACTAATGACGTTCTATTGACTTCGAGATACAATATGTTCGGTCGAAATCCCAATATGCTGGGTGGAAATTCAAATGTGCTCAGTTATTGAAGTGTTGTGTTGTGTGCTGATTACATTTTCTTCAGCCAAGTCAATGTACTGTGGGGCGTCCGTGGCCGAGTGGTTAAGGTCGTTTACTTCAAACTACTTGCCCCTCACCGCTGTGGGTTCGAATCTCGACAGGGGCTTTTTGGATTCTTTCATGTGAGGAAGCTATCCAGGTAGCTTACGGAACGTCGGTGGTTCTACTCAGGTGCCCGTTCGTGCCTGAAATAATACACGGAAGGGCACCTGAGGTCTTCCTCCACCAGTAAAGCTGGAACGTCGCGATATGACCTATACTATGTCGATGTGACGTAAACCCCCAAAAAAACCAAAAAAAAACCAAAACAAAACAACGTATTGTCGGGTGCATTAGTCGTTATGTTTAGTTCTCAAAACAAACAGGCATGTGGTAACACAATTATGTTGAGTTAAAAAGATATGTTGTAGTGTGTTACAGTTATAATTCGGTTGAAATCATGCTTCATGCTGTTTGGTGCTCTTATCTTTATGTTTAACCATGAAAATAAACAGTTGAGTGGTATAACATGTATCATTTTATTTGGCTGCGGCAGTGTTTTTTTGGTGATAATTTCATTATTTTCAGTTGCAATGACATGCTGTTGGGTGCTTTATTCATTCTGTTCAGTTGTGAAATAGAACTGTTGAATGGTACTATCATTATGTTCAATTAAGTTGATATACTGTTCGGTGCAGAGGTCATTATGTTCAATAGTGAAATAATGACGGTATCACACAACAGTTTTTGTTCACCACTGAACATAATGACCACTGCACCGAACAGTATATCATCTGAACTGAACATAATCTGAACTGAACATAATGAAAAAAAAAAGAAACAGTTCTTTTTCATAACTGAATATAACGATCTTTGTACCGAACAACAAATTGACTTGACTGAAGAAGATATAATCAGCACACAAGATAATGATGGTACCAGTTAACAATTCTATTTCACAACTGAACAGAATGAATAAAGCACCCAACAGCATGTCATTGCAACTGAAAATTATAAAGGTATCAACCAGTAATACACTGCCTCAACCAAACAAAATGATAATACTACTCAACTGTTTATTTGATGGTTGAACATAATGAGAAGCGCACCAAATAGCATATTATTATAACCAAACATAATAACTGTAACACCCTACAACATATCTTTTAACTTAACATAATTGTGTTACCACATGCCTGTTTGTTTTGAGAACTGAACATAACGACTAATGCACCCGACAATACATTGTCTTGACTGAATAAAATACAGTCAGCACACAACATAACACTTCAATAACTGAGCACATTAGGATTTCCACGCAGCATATTGGGATTGCTACCAAGCATATTGTATCTCAGAGTCAACAGAATGAATCAGTCATTCTACATATAAGGCAGTCTAGGCAATCCATAAAAAACTTACGTTAGTGCAAATCTTGTCAACAAATAACGCATGTAATAAGCTGGTTTACACGCAACCGGTTTACAGTCGTGATATGATGTGTTATTTATAAATGTAGTACTAATCTTTCCTGTGTTTGCAAATTTCAGAATTGATTCTAAACCATACTGAACAAAACCTGCGAAAAGGTAGGATTTAGCTTATTGTCTTGAACACCTATACACACATGTTGGCATGGTTGAAAATGTAAAGTAACACTTCTCTAAGCATAAAAGTGTATATCAGCATTTTACACCTGATAACCCCACATAACACCCCATAGGAACTCGAGAACGGGACCGCAGATTGCGGTGCATATTTTCGATGGTGTAACGGTTTTTAAAAACTTTTCTGCTACATCTAAATATCTTTTAGTATTATCCCAGCCTCAAAAAATATGTTATCAATTGAACCCAATCTGTGTCTTTTAAAACTGGTCAAATTTAACGGTATTATAAAAAAGACAAGGAGTGACATCTGCCATTCGCCGCAACGTTTTTGGCATGAGTTTTCCCCTTGGCTACAATTGATTACTGTTTTTTTTCAGAATTATGTTCCCGTCATTTTTATCAACTATCAGGTATCGTCAGGATATAACGTTCACGGTTTATTGTTTACACGTGTTGACATGTATAGGCGGCATTATAACGGGCGTATTTGTGTTTTGATTTCTTAACATGGAGAACACAGACACTTTAGTAATATGGTCCAACTGATTTTGCCTAACTGGAAAACGGAATATTAAAACATGATCCATAGCTAAATGTTTCAGGCACTCATCTGGTATTCATTACTAGAAAAATTAAAACAAAAATCAAGCATATCAAGGGGGATAATTTACGCCGAACGTTGCGGTAAATGGCGGATGTCACTCCTTTTCATTTTTCAATATACCGTAAATTTGACTGATTTTTAAATAAGCAGATTATATTAAATTGAGATTAGATAATTAAAGACCATCCGCTCGCATAATATGAAAAGATATACAAAGGTCGGAAAAACAATATGTAAAGCTGGTACGGATTCGGATTTATGCGCCGCAGTGTGCGGTCCTGTTCCAGAGTTCCTATGTAACACCGAGGCGAAACTAGGAGTGCTTTATCAGTTTAAGGGTTGCTTATATGCAGTTTTGCCCTGATCGTCGTGCTATTTTTATTATACCGAACAAACATTTTAATGTAATTTTTCATCGCTATGCATTTTTACATCAAGAGGCAATCATAACACATTGATTTTATCAGGGGAGAGAACTAAAATATTACGTTTTCTCAATATATAGATTACCCACCCCTGGGGAATATTGAAAAAAAACAAACATTGACGGTTAAACGATAGATCAAAATAACACATTGTGACGTCAAAATAGGTTAAAAAAGGTCCTGGAATACAGCCATTAAACTAATGTTTTAAGATATCGTAGAGAAATTCATAAATTGAAAATGTAAAAACAAATAGACATGCACTTTTTGATAGAAAGTGAGTGTATAGTTTGTTATTTGTATTCTATCATTATGAATTTAATCCCTGACATGAACTAAATGCGTTGTCATATTATACGAGTTATTATTTCATTTCAGACTCATACGGATATTATCTGGACTGTCAGCGGTTACTGGAAGTTGTAATAATTGAGCTGGATACTTCAAGTTTAGCGCGTGTGAGTATGCGAATACTTATCCAGAACATTGATTGTAGTAATTATGAGATATGTACCGTAGATTCCGACGATGACAAGTACTAAACATTTTTTCTACCCCGCTATGACCAAGCATGCAAGGTTTTATAAGATACCCGTCTGAACATCTGAGCAGTCCAACCAGGCCTTTACTGTTTGAATCAAATTAATTATTTTTTGGGTGGCGGCGTGGTCTAGTAAATAACGCGTCGGACAAGTAATCGAAACATCAAAGCCCGCGTTGGTTCTAGCCCCGTAAATGGTAAGTCTTTGTTTCTTTGAGCAACATGCTTTACACCCATTGATTAGTACTGGTTGATTCTAGGAATGGATTAGACAGTATTTTTAACATAAATATGAATAAACTAAACCATATTGCATTCATTGACCACTGCTTCAAAACATTTGACGAACTGGAACTTAAGGGTTATATATATCATTATAAACTTTGCTTGTTTTAAATGATTTCACCTTATTCATGTAGCGTGATACAGCTTCATCATTTATTGCTTAAATAATCGCAGTTTACTTTTAATTAGGGCTGGGAACGAATAAGGAATTCGATGTTCGAATATTCGTTTTCCATATTCGAATATATTCGAATATATTCGAATATTCGTTTTTATAACATTTGTTCCAATATTTCTCTTTGACGTATACGTATCCGAAATTGATTGCGTCAAATACTATACTACTTTAAAATGCTTGGAATAATCGGCGATTAAAAGACCTTTAATGCTATGTCGAAGTTTTTTTAATTTATATATTGTAAATCGAGATATATGTATTCGAATATAATTCCCGGCCCTACTTTTAATACATCACAAAGCAAATTTTACAATTGCAACACAGAATTTGATTTTAAAGGATGGAGTACAGCAGGTTATCAACTTTTTCTGTCATTTATATGGCATTCGATGCGTTATTACTTTTTTGTTAACTTTTATAAAACTAGTGTGTAAATATATTTTGCAAAAAAGTCTGTGTCTGCTAAACTCATTAGACTTTCGTCACCTCATTAAAGAAACGGGTTAACTCCTAGTAATTTTAGAAAGACTTAACTCCACTCATTACTGTTCTAATTTGACGATATCTCTATAACCAAAGACCATATACATCTTGTTCCGAGCTGCATGCGGCTATTTATAAGCAAGCGTTGAGTAGCCGCAAAAAAAAAAACGCAAACATATTTGAAGAATGGTGGTATTGTATGTAAAAGTTGTACCCTAAATATTCATTAAATCAAGAATGTAATTTAAGGAGTTTAAATTTCAAATTTTTCTAAAGAACAATATTTTCTTGTAGCAAGCTACTATTGTCGAGTGTTATGTCAGTGATGTACCACGAGCGACCTCATTGGGGATGTCTAGCTGTAACATTGATAGCGTCACAAAAACCCGTATTCCTGGCAAAATATACCTAAGGTAATAATAATAATAATAATAATAATAATAATAATAATAATAATAATAATAATAATATGAATAATAATAATAATATCGTCAAAACTGAAATAAGAAAAAAAAATCATTTTAATAATGTGTATGAAGCATACTTTTCAGAACAAAATCTTTATGAGCGATTGAACGTAAATTATGTAATTCACTGTGAGTGAAACTAAAACTTTCACTCATATAATTTATAACGGTGCCAGATTGTTTATAGATTTATACACCATAATTGCTGTGTGTTATTTCAATCTGAAATTGAATTTCAGCCTTTAAGTTTATTGGCGACGTCGGTGAGCGGCGTCGTCTCTTATTTTGGCCTATGGAAGGAGCTGTTATTATTAGTAGTTAATGTCATGTTGTGTTAATTAGTTTTTTTATTCGTAAAAATCAAGTTAACAAATATGTTGTTATATTTGTATTTAATAACTCACTGTAAAAACCATGTGCATTGTGATATTATTTTCACGATATTGCAGGGCTTAGATTAACAGCTTGTCTCTTAGCTTCGTTGGCAATACTAAACCCCGGATTTCAAATATCGTTGTGGTCTACATTGATGCCGTATTCTTTTTCATTCATTTGTATATTTTTAAATTTTCCTTCAAGAAGAACGTTCATTTGCAAATGAGTATAAGGATTGGTAATGGAACTGTTGTAAACGATTTTCCTATTGCTTTTATCCATATAACGTTTATCTATTGCACAGACATGAGTACCAGTATCCGGATGTGAAAACTATCCGATTTTCTGCAGTTACTGCTGTCACATGACCATCTAACTTTTTATGAATATTTTTTAACCATTGGCTTGATAAAACTGAGCCTGCATCATTACATAATTTTGCTGTTTAGGGTGATCTTTTGGGTTTATGGTTTTCTCTATTTTAGGGGGAAGTAACTCCTGTTAACTGAATTATTTGTTCTTTTCTGTCTACCTTAGGTAGTACTTACTATTTTTGTTGAATAAAATTTATCAGTTGTAAGGTCATCAAAAGCATAGAGGCCCTGAGGAGTGAATATTGAAAGATTTTTTTGACTGGCTTTATAAACCTTATACTGGATTTTTCTAGTTTGTTCATTTAGCACATACCTAATAAACGTTTTCTCTACAGGAATCTTCTAATCACTAATCTTTGGTACAAATGAAAGGTAGACATTTAAAGCTATGCATATAGGTGTTAATGTCCATATATTGAAACAGAGAAAGGATAACATCCTGAAATAATCAATTTTAAATACTTGATATATATGCAGTTAGTTGTTCGATAGTAAAGGCTAATGGAAGGACAGTATTTGTTACTGTAAGAGATATGCATTTAATGTTAAGACACAACTCAAACTTATTATATGATATAGACTATTTGAGGTTGTTTTTTTTACTTTTATACTATACATAGTTTTCTTACTACTAGATTTTGAATTCCATCCAAGTTCAAATGCTAATAGGATTTTATATATATTTTGTAGAAACTGGGAATTATTAATGTTATGTGCATATATGTATATCTTAGTATATGGATATGATTAGACTTTAACTATTTCTGTTTTTAAATACTTGCAGTTATGACTTTTTTATAAAAGGGATGGGACCTGAATTTAAATTTATATATGATAATACATGTATTGATTAATCTACAGGTTATAATAGTATCTATAATAGAGTAAAAGGATTATTGTAAAGGGTGACTTATCCTGAAAATTGTGTTGTGAGATTCGGAAGGTTACATAATGACCTATCTAGAATTGAGGTTAAATAAGTGTCCATTTCTAGTGATGGCAGGGTCCATAGTGGAATTCCGGACGGTTGCATGGCAATATAGATATATATTTCAACTCTCTATGCTAGTAGGTCAGTACTGGTTTTTAAAGGATGTCCTAAAACTTGGATCAGGCAATACAATTTATAATGTCTCAAAAAATCAAAAACTGAATTGTTATTTTATTTTTTCTAACATGTGCATAGTTTGAAAAGGACAGCTCCTGTCTTATCTTTTTGTAATGGAGGCACACCGGTCTTAACCTCCAGGTCTGGGGCAGAGACAACATGATTACAGACCTTTCATAGAGCAGATTGTTGCTTGCTCTTGAATCAATTTGTGCACTAATTTTACAGCAAGTAATATGTTGCACATAAAAACCGACAAAGTACAAAAAGTTACCAGGCCCCAGATGAAAACATGAAAATATAATCTACCACAAAGTGGTTCGTTTGTTGTATTTTCATATTTTCGCCTGGTGCCCCCTGATGCAAAATACAACATGGCATAAATCCGCCTCCAAAAGAATTCAAGAAAAAGGTTAGTTTTTTATCTGTACAAAAATTAGATATTGTACATGTATTAGCACAGTTATGTTCACTTTCAAATTGACCTGTTATAAATAATGGCACAACCAATAACTGTCTTATCCGGGCCTATTTTAGTAAAAATAATTGTACAATATATAAATTGTTATTTTAATCAAGACTTTGAGTGTGTACGTTTTTTCTTATATATCTAATTAAGAAATAATCTACATGTTAATTAAAAATTTTAAAAGTATCTGTCATGGCATAGAACTGTTCACTATTTGGGGGAAAATGTGTAAGCGGCCAGATAGCTCAATCGCTACTGCCGCAGTACAATTATTCTTTGGGTCACAGGTTCAAGTTCTGGTCAAGTTGAAAGTTTTTCTTATCCTATGACTGCATATAACCCTGAGTTTAATACACTATGCTCTATAAACATCAGAAATTCAAGGACACAAATCAGTATAGTGGGGAAATACGTTATGGTTTAGAACTGTTCACTATGATAGGGTTAACGCACGTTTTTTCGTGTTATAACGTCTGCAGAGTCCCGAGGAACGGTTGGTGCCCGAGCCCGGTAGGGCGAGGGCTCCAACAGTTCCGAGGGACTCTGCAGACTTTATAACACGAAATAAACGTGCGTTGACGCTATTATAGCATAAAATTTTCAAACGGATTCGTGATGTATAGTTTATACAAAACACAATTACATTAAATTCTTATGCTTGGACGGTATTTATCCAATTCTATGTTTTACGTATGCGCTTCATTTTTCCGGGGCCAACAACTTGGAAAATTTTCGGAACGAAATTTTGAATTTTAATTGATTTAACAAAGCTTGGCCTTTGGAAATTTATTATCTCAAGAAAAAAACCCACCTTACATTACTCTACCCTCTACCCAAGACAAAACATGGCCCTCAGAAATTCTTAGAATGATTTCAGATTGATGAGTGACATCAGAATCGGTTTTTTTCAAGCAAACAAGTTTATAAAAAAATCAGGCACTAAGCATTATTCTTTCAAAGAAATATAAAGAACTTTTATCAACATTAACATAAATAAAAAACATTTTCTCATATTAATTTTGTGTTATCTAGTTTTGTAAGTTAATGGGAGTGTTACACTGAATGACAGGTAGATTCTACTGTATTTGTTTACATTGAAAACTGTCCGTTTCTTAGAAAGGGCGACAACCAAGATTAGCACCGATGTCTATACGCCGTTTTTTTTCCGGCATATTTACTTGAATATGCGACTGAGGCCCTCGAATCAATAAATTTCAATATAACAAGAGCCCATGACTCTTTGGCAAACAGGCCAAATCGTCATTTTTTGTTTGTTTACTGGGCCCTGTATGTATTGCGTATAGGTGAAACCGGGCAATAACAAGAGCGCGTGATTATGTTAACACATGGTTTGGTCCCGTTATAACATGGGCAAAATAGGGAAAAATAGCCGATTTTATGCTATAATAAAGAGATAATGTGTAGTCGACCGGATTGCTAACAGTCATGGGTTCGAGTCATGGTCAGGCAGTTTCAATCAAGTTTCAGCAGCTGGAGAATGTGGCTGGTACTCAATTATTCTTCTACTGCTACGAGTACCTATGGTGTCCCCCTGATGGTCATTTAATGTCCTCTTTTATGTATTATATATGTCAATGACATGTCTGCTACCCTAAGCAGTAAGATTTTATTATGTGTTGATGACTCAGGTATCCTTGTATATGGTAAAATAAATCTGAAGAAATTCTCTCTTATGGCATGAGTCTTATTAGTGATTGGTTAATTGACTATAAATTGTCTTTCCATCTTGGCAAGACAGAGTCTATTCTTTTTGGTTTAAGTTTAACTTAAACAGGGTCCTAGCTTCCAGGTCACATGTAATGGTACTGATATAAAATATACATCTTTTGTTAAGTATTTAGGTGCAAGACTTAATCAAATTTTTTAACGTCGCCTTTGATGCTTTGCATCAATGATTTTCTTGTTATAAAGATATAGTGTTGGTGAACGTATCGGTCTATTAAGTATAATTTGTGCAGTTCTTTTGTTAATGAGTTTACTTTCTTGATATATGAGTATGTGTCCTTTCCTCATACCGTACAACAATAATCAAGCACAGGAAGGATGTAGGCGTCGTAATATATCTTTTTTACTTCGTCAGTAAGGTAAAAAATGATATGTTTGAAGAGGGCAATTTTTGTTTTTACTTTTTCGCAAACAGAGTCAATTTGATAATGCCAGATTTATGTATTATCTACATAAATGCCCAATAACTTTTGAACTGTTACATTTTCAAGAGTTAAAGATCATTTACTTTCAGTAGGAGAGGATTACATAACATTACACATTTTTTGTTTGTAAATTAGCTTGTTTTTTCAGTAAACAGTCACCTGGTTGGTAAAGTAGAGTCATACAGGTCTATATTAAGATCATTACGGAGTATAGATATATCATTTATATTAATCAAATAAAGAATGGGCCCAAGGATGGATCCTTGGGGAACTACTTATTTTACCAGTAAAATGTCAGATTTTGAATTACCTACTTGAACTGTCTGTTTTCTGTTTGATAAATAGGAACGAAAAAAAGTTACAGCTTTTTCAGAAAAATGATATAATTTCAATTTGTGTATCAAAATTTCATGATCGATAAGATCAAACGCTTTTCTGAAATCAAGGAA